GCGGGGCTTCAGGGTACTGATACCCCACAAAAACCAAGAAACTACTACATTACATTTCCAAAAACTAAACTGAGTCTGGAAAATTTTAAAAGAAGTATGAAGCCCTGCGGCCAACTGAATACAAGCGTGATAAACAGGAAGTACCACATTTTGGTCTGTACTTAGGTAACTGCAAATAAAGCCTCCATCTTTTTTGTCATAATTCCATTGCATGTTTAATGGTTAAATTAAAGGTTAATGATTAGAGCTAGTTGTGCTTTGTCTTGTGTGTTTTAAATGTAGATATATGTTGCAACTTCTATTTGCATGTTTAGTTTTTGTTATTATCAGTTAAAACTAAACTGATTTTGTACAAAGCATTTATTAGGTTGTGTAATGTAAAGCAGAGCGCTATAGTGTCTGTAGCATTTTAGCTAGCAAGTCTGTACTAGCTTAGCGCTACTTCTTGTTGCTCTCTAAAATAGCTACTGAATCAAGTGTTTACTTATGTAGGTAAACGTAGATGTTTAACAACCAGTTAAAATACACCAGAATGCAGAAAATGGAATCTTCTTTATTCAAAATTTTCTGGAGGAGGACCCCCAGACCCCCCAACCAGTGCATCCCCACCCGCTTTACAAATGCTTCTGACATCGATCGTCACTGCGTTGTTCAAGCCAAGAGCCATGGACAACACTGGGGGCTAAGCACCCCTAAAGGGCAGATTCTAGAAACACCCCTGCTAAAAAGCATGAAATGTACATCCAGTTGCTTAAAGAAAAACTCTGGATTGTCAAACTCACTTACAAAAGGGGGCTAAAATTAACAACATCAAATGAGATATCTGCTGTCTGTTTTTGGTTGCAGATTCAACAAAAATTTCTCGTTTGACGTTCTCCATCGCATTTTCTGCGTCAAAAATCAAAGATTACAGAAAAATACTGACCTATTTTTCTCGGCTTCAAAGTCGGCCAACTATCACAAGAAATCTGCACCAAATAAGTTTTGGTCGATTTTCAATTAAAATGAGAAACAATTAAATTTTATACAGTTTAACTATCATCATGGCAGCCAGGTAAGATGTTAACGAGGGTCACGTTTGGCCTTTGACAAGTGCATCAATTCCTTCATGAAGCCTCGACACGAAACAGTTTGAGCAGCTTCATTTCATGTTTTAACTTCTTGGTAGAAAATAAATCTTTACGGCGCCGTGTTGTGTTTGCTGACAGTTTACTACAAATTTGACAACAAACTGCAGCCGTTATAAAATCTGCCCTTCTTTCTGAAAAGCTCCACTCGGACCAAAGCATCGCCCATCGCTGAAAAGCTCTCAGCCTCTCTCCGTGTTGATTCTGAAACTGAAGACGTTTGTTTCGGTGCCGGGCCGCACCGACAACAAAGGACCCACAAGCCGTCGGCCGCATTTACACGTGCTCAGATTTATGGTGCAAACAAATGACGGTTTGTTTAATCACCAACGGGCTGAGCCGACTGATGAGAACAGCTGGTTCTGACAGCAGAACTCTTTGGAGACCCACAGCAGCTGCCTAACTGCTGATAAACAGCTGTTTCCAAACGAAACGTGGGATTTATCAGCATGAAGTCCAATGGTCTGGGACACTTTGGGTCAGAACCTGGCTGAAGCAGAAGGTTCTGGGGTCGATCTGCTGACACGGGCTTATGGTCAACTGTGATTCTGCTGAAGGACAGAGGGCTTTTTAAAGGTCTGTAGAGGGTTGGGTCTGTTCTGCCGGGCCACAGTCTGGGTGTATCAGAGGCCATTTGTTAAAGAATAAAGAAACGATCAACCTGCAGGGAGCAGAAATAAAATCTGAATGAAAGCAGTTTTTATTTTAAACATCAACTTTATTGTTAATGATGCAAAACACCACAAACAGCATGAAGACTGACCCCCCCAAACAGTATGAAGGCTGACCCGCTCCAGAAACAGCATGAAGACTGACACTCCCCCACAAACAGTACGAAGACTGACCCCCTCCACAAACAGCATGAAGACTGTCCCCCCACAAACATCATGAAGACTGACCTCCCCACAAACAATATGAAGACTTACTCTCCACAAACAGCATAAAGACTGACCCCTCCACAAACAGCATAAAGAAT